CTGTTGAACAAAGTTATAGTTTGGGTTTAATTCTGAGGAAGTTCAGCTTGTAGTGTCGTGCTTGGAAATTCTACAATGTCCAGGATACACCTGCATGTTTAGAAAGCGACAAAATATTTCCTTTGGCAAGTTTTCCTTGCAGCTGCGTTAAGTGTGTCAAACAACCTAACCCTTTAAGGGCAGAGGAATTGCATAGTGTGAAAAGCGAGCAGGAAATAGACAACTTTTGCGTAAACTACTTTGGCTTGAATTGGGATTTCAGTTTAGGGTCCTAATGTCTGCACATTCAGAACTGCACATGCAAAATTCACTGTCACGTTCGCCTACAAATATAGTCACTACACTTTAAAGTGAATCCTATGAAGCACTTTGAGACGCCTTGACATGTTATACCAAATTCAAGGATAATTTTTATTACCCCTAAATATTTCTACCAAAGTATCAGCCTATTCCTCTTTTAAACATTTTTAAAGCATTCTGGTATTTGTCTTAAACTTGTGTGAAGAAATTATGTAATTTCATGGTATATTTTCTAACAGGCACTTACTAAAAGAGAATAATTTGGGAGAGAAAAAAAAACTCCCCCACATATTATAGATTGCCCTAAGCTACCAGTTACTTCATAGAGAGAAAACAGAAGCCAGCACATTCTTAAGCTTCAAAACCTTAACCGTTTCTTTTTAACAATTTGATATGAATTGGACTGCGATTGTTGATTACAAAGGTAAATTTAGAAAAAAAAATCTACCATAATTTAAAATTAATAGCAGAACAGGCTTGATGGACTGAATGGCCCATGAAGGGTTGGTATGCAAGGACATTACTGTGCACCCATACACTAACTATCTGCAATTACTTGTGAAATAAAATCATCTGGTTAATTATAGAAAAAGAAATCAAATATAGCTGAGAACTTTAGAAAGCATTTGTATTTAAAATTCAGCTCATCAGAGGTTTCAGTATAAACCTGTTACTATATTGGACTACAATTCACAGCATGCATTGGATAGGCTTCAATCAGTCTTGTGAATCATTTAGACAGATTTGCCTAACTTCCAATCTCTATAGCAACAGATGCAGGCAACTCAGTGGTTGCAACAATGCACAACATCACATTTAAATGAGAACCAAATTATTTCAATTTCAACACATGGAAATAGCTGTAAAGTAGCCCTTTTTAATACCCTCGAAGTGCTTCATCTCCATAGGTTGCTGGATTCAAATGTGAAGCTGTCAAACGCTTTGATGCACATGCCTACTCCTCTGTGCTTGGAAGGTCTGTTTATAAAAGTGCAGCAACAAGATCACAAGTGCTGTTCGAATGAAGACTCTTCGGCCCATTTGATCTCATCTTTCCAGAATACTACCCACTTCCGCCTTCCCATCACAGCATCAAGCCATTTTTAGAAAAAAAATAGCTCCAGAGACCCTATCTCAACTACCTTTCCTGGCAAACCTGATGCATTTGTTAATTTTCCTCTGGATAAAGAAATGTTTCTCGGGTCTGCCTGAAAAGTGTCATAACCATAATCCTTGCATTTGATATTGTGCCACATCATGTCATCGCAATATCTCAAAGTGCTTCACAGAATATATTGTAAAGTGAATTGACTGTGTAGATCAAAAACCAAAAGAAAAATTAAATAAAAAGGGAAATTAGGTTATTAAAAAAAACGTACAGAATGAGAAACGATTTACGCCAAGAAAGTTACAAAATTAGATCATTGTTACTTTTTTTAACAATACTTTCTTATGCATACAATTATTGCTACAGCTCGTTACATTTCAAAATGTTTCCGTAGGAGCCGATTAGTTTGCGGTTACCAATAATAATATAATAATAATAATCCTTGCATTTGATACAGCGCTTTTCACGTCGGGAGGACGTCCCAAAGCGCTTCACAGAACACACTGTAAAATGAATTGACTGTATATTTGTGGGTGAACGCGGCAGCCAATTGCGCACAGCAATGTCCCACAAACAGTCGTAGATTGAAAATGACCAATTTATTATTGTTTTGGTTTTGGAGGAATTATTATTAGGCTCTGTGTGGAGTAAGGAAACTTGCCCAAGGTTTCACCCTCTGCCTGGAATTGAACTCAGGTCTCTCACTTGCAAAGCAAGTGCTCCAACTACTGAGCTTCAGGACTCCACATAATGTGGAAATATATAATGAAACGTCTCCATTTAGATTCCGAATAAACTGCAAGGCTTGTAAACTTGTATCGTAAATAGATGCAGGTTGCCCCCTGCTGGTCGCAAACCGAGTTGGCTCGTTGATGACATTTAATTTTCACATTATTTGACTGGATTTTTTAAAATTAATACCTACTTAGTGTCACAGTATATTGTGCGCACGCACCCCTTTCACCACACTGTGTGGGACATAGTTTCAAAGGATGGAATATAATTAAAATAAATACACAACAGCAGTGAGTTACCGAGTTAAACTACACTGTTTTGTTACACACACTGTGGATGGCTCAGTTGGCACATTGAGGGAAATACTGTACATAATTGGTCCAAGCGAAGCTCTACACAAAATTTCTTTTGACAAAGTTACAAATAATTTCCAACTCAAGAAACTCGGCTGAAAAATTGACTTTTCTTTTTGGATAAACGCCGGTCCATATTTATATCCACAGCTGTAATAAATATTAATTTGTACAGTACTGTAGTTTGCTTTATTTCCCCATGTCTGTTCTAAAATCACCAGTGTGCCACACAGTGCAAAATCATTTCAGCTTTAAAGCACTCTGAGCTGTTAAGAGGATGTGAAAGGCGCTATACAAATGTGATTTTGTTGTTGTTATTAATATGTTGCGGTGTTAAAACAGCGAGCACTACTGCTTGTTGCCTTTGCGTTGTAGCAAGGTAAGGGAAGAAACATAAATTATATTTGCACAAAGCTATCGGTGAATAATTTGCCAAACAGACTCAAAAGCTTGTGACATCCTCCCGACGTGAAAGGCGCTATACAAATGTAATCTTGTTGTTGTTGTCTGTGCTGGGGAACTTTGTTTTTTAAAAAAAAGCTTGGGCTAGGGCCAAGCAATGGCGAATTAATACAACAGCTACTAGAAAAAAAAAGCTTGGCTCTTCAATTATCCTAAAGAAAATTTTACTCTCGCTAATTGTGCAAAATGTCCCAGCTTTCCCTCACAAGTATTGATGTGATGTGAAGGAAACCGACTGACAGCAGTAATGCTATGACTTGAAATGCCCTGTTCTCACGATCCAGATTCATTCTAAAACTACAGCACTCTACTATAATTAGATATCTAGATCTGATCGCTAGAACACCAACAAAGCTGTAAGGCACACTGGGTTGGTTACTCAGCACTGGAATACCCTTTGCTTTTTGTCAAAATCCCTGGTTCTAGGATTTTGTAATTTAAGAGTTTGAAGCTGATTTTCATCACTGCTTCTTAAACCTAGAGAGGAACCTAAAATGCCCAGTTCATTTTGTACCACATTGTAAAACCAGCGCTGGTGTGAAGGTGAATTGAGAGTCCTGGAGCTCCTAACAGAACATTTCTACTGCAAATTATTGCACAGCTTTATAGTGTACCTCTTGTACACTAATCTGGCTGTAGCTGTAACCAGCATTCAGCAGGCAAGACAGTTCCGGAACCATTTTCAAATGAAGTACTGTACCAAACAAAGCACAGGATATCCACAGCACACGACACTCAAATGGAACGTTTTCCTCTCCCGTGTTACATGTGACCAAGGAAGACCCACGAATAGTGCTAACAAATTAAGCATAAAGTTCACAGTAATGGGTCGACGTTGAATCATTTTTATTAAAAAAAATAAATTTCAAAACAAAAAAATTCAAGAAACCTTAACGTACCTTCCACTTTCTCACAGAATACAGTCAATTCACTTTGCGGGATATTCTCCGGAGCACTGTGAGATGTCCAGTCCCTTGGGACATCTCCTGACATGAGGTGCTAAACAAATGTTATTTTGTTGTTGTAGAAGATTAAGTGCTATATCAAATGCAAAGATTATTATGTTTACTGCATTTGGAGTCCTGTAGCTCAGTGGTTAGAGCACTCGCTTTGCAAGTGAGAGACCTGAGTTCAATTCCAGGCAGAGGGCGAAACCTTGGGCAAGTTTCCTTACTCCACACAGAGCCTAATAATAATCCCTCCAAAACAAAACAATAATAAAAATTGGTCATTTTCAATCTACGACTGCTTGTGGGACATTGCTGTGCGCAATTGGCTGCCGCGTTCGCCCACAAATATACAGTCAATTCACTTTACAGTGTGTTCTGTGAAGCGCTTTGGGACGTCTAGAAGATGTGAAAAGCGCCATATCAAATGCAAGGATTATTATTATTAAAGCAATCATAGTAATTAAGCACTGGTAATAGTTTACATAGGATTGGAAAAGCAGAATACTAGAAGGCTAATATCCCAATGGCCAATGTACTACAACCTCCCCATATCCCACAATATCTCTTAATATGTTTAGTCTCCAATAAGACATCCATCCACCTCTCTCTTGAATTCCTCAACTGGTATTTCATCTATGGTTTTCTGGGACACTGCCTTCCACATTCAAATGCAGTACTTAAGATTGTTTAATTTCAGTCAGGGTAACCCAATTTGTCTTAATTTTAAGTTTACCTCCTCACTCAACCCTCCGATGGAAACAAGGTCACAAATAGCTCACTTTAAGTAGTTTTCATTATTCTAAACCCAGATAAATCATCGTCCTCCCCCCACCCCCAAGATTACACAGATCCAAATATCTCAGCTTTTCATACTATTGGGGTAGCCCTTCCCTTCCAGTTCTTCGCATCACAATCGTGAACCCACACTGCACTCTTTCACTCTATTTCTCCAAAGCCAATTGGAACTATCCTTTCTGCAACTAGGCACCCAAAACAAATTAGGATAAATGGGAAGAAAATTTAACCAAAATAGACAGCTGTACAAAATAAGCATCTCAAGCTATAAATTAATTATACATTATATGTAGAAATTGTGCAAGACTTTATTAAAAATTTACATCAAATTTATGGAAGTGTTAAAATGAATAAATAACCGTGCAAAAGCCACAGGCCAGTAAAAGTTGAATTCAATAACACTATATAGTGGCACTCAGCAAATAACATTCATTAGATTCAGTCACAAAAGGGAACATTTATAATAAAACACTTCACACAGGAATGTAAAAATACACACCAAGAAAATCTGAATTTCTGTAAACTTAAATGGTATAGATTATATACAGAAATTCCTGCACTCAAAAAGGAAGCACTTTAAGTGTCTCTGGGATTTTATCAGAGAACTGGAAATCAGCATCACGGTTTCTCGATAAATGCAGTTTCTTATTAATTGCCAACAATTCTCAACAGGTTTTTCTCTGATAGCCCAGCCAAGAATGGCTGACATAGTTCCAAAATAAGAGTAAACATTGGATATTTATTGCTAACTTTAATGCTCCAAATACATTTTGTGTACGGAAATTTCTGAATTCTATAAATTTCACGAAATACCTGAAACATGACCTTTAAAATCAGTGCCTTAAAAGAAACGTATGGAAAGGACATTCCCTTTGCTGGTGTATATGGAAGTAACACCACAAAACAAACTGAGATGAGTTGACCTGGGTTATTCGTTAGTGGTAAGACCATACAAAGAAATATAGAATGAACAAGCCCATACAACAATTTGGACAGAATGTGATCAGAATTGGATGCTAAACAGATAAGCTTGTTTCAAAACTCGAGCGACTAGTTTTGCACTTGATTACTGCACTTGTCCAGTCAGCACTGGTGATAGCGAGCACAAATCTACACATACTTATAGTAATACCAAAATATCCGTGTTACATGATGTTAGATTCTACCAAAGGTTAATATACTCTACACAAAAAAATGGTGTCAGTTGGACAGGACATTTACAAATAAACCTCCCCCCACATCTGTAAAATACAGTCAGAGACAGAATAACCTAAAACACAGTCTATGTACATTTGCTACCATAAACGGATCATGTAAACCATTAAAATTCACGGCAAAACCAGAATACAAGCAAAGTAAACTTAATGTAAAAGCATGGCCTGAGTAATTCCTCATCTCGCGAGATATGAATGACTAATTCTCTAAAAGAGTTTGGGTAATTGTCGGAGCCGACTGACATCAAGGATGTTGCCCACCATACTGTTACTTTCTGAGTGTTTCGGTGTTTCAGGAGAGATTGGTTTGATTTTATTAGAAGTCAGAAGGGTTTCAATTCCATTTTCCTTTTCAGGATGTTGGGTGTAATAGGTTTCTCCAACATGCATCTTCATTTTGGGCTTCACACTCTTTAAATATGGTTGAGATTCTTGTTGGATAGGAGGCTCCACAATATTTACTGACTTTGAGGAAGCAATCCCATTTGAAATGTTTCTTAGAACATTCCTGTCCATTTCGGAGAAAGACCCGGGAGAACGGTGCTTGTTAATACTCTTCTTTCCTTCACTTACTTTTTCAATTTTTTCTTTTCTAAAGGCAACACTTTCATGTTGATCAATGGCCTCAAGTGAATCTTCCTCCTCTTCACTGCTATTATCACACTCTATGAGTCCATACCTCATCATGTACTTTCGTGTAGCAAATGACATGTTATTGGGTGAAATCAGACTCAGCCCTACCAGGCTTTTGTCTGGGTTTAACTGTAGAAGATTATGCGATTGATCGTTGGTGTCATTTCTGCTCTGAGCTATCTGTGAAAGCTGAGAATCATTCAGGTACTTCAAGGCTATAGCATTGGCCTCCATGCTGAGGTCAACTGCACCAGTCCCAAACCCACTTGTGTTCACATTGGCAAAGGACATGTAGTTCAACCTTGGGATAACTGCTGCAGGGTGTATGCAAGCCAGGGTACTAAAAACAAGAATATGCAGAAATTACACATCCATACAAATATCCCATTTCTTAATGGACCAACAATATCCATCAGATTTCCCCACACATTAATCATCAAATGTTTTTCTAATAAATAATAATCCCTCCAAAAATAAAACAATAATAAAATTGGTCATTTTCAATCCATGACTGTTTGTGGGACATTGCTGTGCGCAATTGGCTGCCGGGTTTCGCCCACAAATATACAGTCAATTCACTTTACAGCATATTCTGTGAAGCACTTTGAGACGTCTAGAAGACGTGAAAAGCGCGATATCAAATGCAAGGATTATTATTATTCAAATGGTTTAAAGTTTTAAAAACAGAAGAGATCATTATACAATTACCATTATATTCTGAGATGATAGCTAGCCTAGATGCAAAATTCCCATAAATAAATATCTGACGTACAACAGTGAATATTTACAGTGAACCTACACTAGCTTTTAAGTTTATTGGTGCTCAACAAACTATTATTTTCATTTACTGCCATAGGGGAGTTTCTCCTAATGTCCTGGTGAACAATCCCCCAGTAAAACTGCTCATTCATTTCATGGCCGTTTGTGAATGTGGAAGTTGATTTGCACACAACTGTCTGAAGGTTTTCAGGAAGGACTTGAAAAAGGGGAGAGGGGGCAAGGCAGAGGGATTAAGAGAGTGTTTCAGAGTTTTGGAGCGTAGTGGCTGAAAGCGCGACCTCCAATGGTGGGTCGGAGGGTGCGAGGGACGAGCAGGAGGCCGGTGCCAGTCAAGCGGAGGCGCCGGGTGGTGGATTGGAGTGAGGAGGTTGGAGAGGGAGGGAAGCGCCAGAGAGTGAAGGGATTTGAACATGAGAATTACCTTGCATTTTCAACTTTATTTTTTATTTTCTTTGTTGAATTGGAAGTTTCCAAATCAATTTGCACTCCCATTTTCTTGAGCTGTTTCATGGTTGCACTCAGCACATCATTTTCATCTTTCAGATAAGTGTGGGTTTTAGATCTTTTATTCCTACTGCGACTAGTCTGCATGACTTCAGAAATTTCTGACTCAACAACTTCATCATCCATTCCTTGGTTTTCACTTGGTGAAGACTGTAAAATTTGATTCACTTGGCCCTTTAGGAAAAAAAATACATCCATTTTTCAATCTTCATAACAACAACAACAACAACAAGATTCCATTTATAGAGCGCCTTTCACGTCAGGAGGACGTCCCAAGGCGCTGCACAGTTGGGTCATGACCCGAGCAGGGGGGAAATGGTCAGGGTGAGGGGAGGGAAGGGAGGGAGAGAGGAGGGGGAAATGGTCAGGGTGAGGGGAGGGAAGGGAGGGAGCGAGGAGGAGGAAGAGAGTCGAGAGGGGAGCTGAAGGCACGGTCAAAGAGAAAGGTTTTGAGACCGGCCTTGAAGGAGGAAAGGGAGGAAGCAAGGCGAAGGCACTGGGGGATGGAGTTCCAGAGCCTGGGGCTGAGAGGCTGAAGGCCCGATCACGGATAGTAGGGCGGTTGGGGCGGGGGACGTGGAGCAGACCGGAGCCAGAGGAACGGAGGGTACGGGCAGGTAGGTAGGGGTGAGAGTGAGAGGGGAACAGAAGGGTATGGGGGAGTAAGGAATTGGTGAAGAAATGTTTTCAATGTTAACTGAGAAACAAACATTTAAATGCCATGCATTCAAAACTCATACACCATATTAAATAAAGACGGATGTGTGAAGATGTATTTATTGTGATTGAACAGAATACTTACCATTAAGTGCTGATAAAACATCTGTTCATCTTGTAAACAAGGGTTAGCAAGTGGTTCTATAGCATGTTCCTCAGTTTTTGGCACCTCTTTGTTACCTATATCTGAACGGCATCTCTGAAGGCATATGCTGGCACTCTCCCCAAGCACTGGGCTCTGAAAACTGACTTGGTCGTTGTATTCATTTTCTGCATCTTCACGTGCAGAGCTAAATAGCAGATAATTTAGGAGTTCTGTTAGTCCAAATGTACTTTTTTTAACATTATCATTTTAGGGTAATACAAGCTGCACTACACTAATAAAAATAATAATGATCACTTTATCCATGACCATTTGTGGGGCACTGCTGCGCGCAATTGGCTGCTGCATTTTGCCTACAAAAAATAACAGTCAATTCACAGTAAATTTTGTGAAACGCTTTGAGATATCTAGAATACGTGATAACAACAATAATAAGATTACATTTGTATAGCGCCTTTCACATTGGGAAATATAAGGTGCTATATCAAATGGAAGAATTATTATTATTAATGAATATCCATAAGTAGGGTTTCCCTATTGAGCCTGCAATATCACTTTTAACAGGTCATACATATCTAGGCAGTGCTGTGGCAGAAGTCACCCGAGACCCATGGGCACAATTATATTTCACTGTAGAGGGGCCAAATATGACTCCTTATTTATTTCCCTCACGAAACACCTTGGAATAAATTAAGCCCCTGTTTATGACTTGGTCAAATTATGGATACTCTAAATTTACTCTATTTACATGGTGTTTCAAATTCTAGTGGAATTTTATCCCTAAGGCTTCCTGAAAGAATACAGCATGAGCTCAGTCAATTAATTACATAACTTTGATGCAAATCCAAGGTTCACCTTGCTTTCTCTGGTTTCTTTTTATTAGTACAAAGAATATGTTCAAAGCACTGGAGGCCTTGAGGAAGTTGCCTTTAGCACAAGATAGACAGACTTAAGTGCATTAGAAAATTACCTTTTTCTTAAACAAAAATTTAGAAACACGAATTAACTTTTTCAGTTGCAACTTTTAAACTAGAAAATGTTTCTTACTTTTGCACATCAGCAGTGGTTTGCTTGGAGGTTTCTTGACTGCTCTCTGCAAAGCTGCAAATGTCCACTGCATTTAGTGATGAAGTAATACTGGTATCCTCAACTGCGACAGGGATGGCCACATCTTCTTTGGACAGTTCAGAGTCATTCAGCTTGAGTGAAGACATAGATTGTTGCACTTGGTGTTCATCTGGTGGGCACCAGAACAAACTGGCACCTAAAATCAAGAAAATAGATGTCACTGGAAGTCCTGTAGCAAAGGCAGTGTTACTTTTAGCCACTACTGCCCTAAAGGGTAGGGTAATCGTAGATGGACGAGTTCAATGTTTGTAATGTCACATTATACAAATGGAGAACTTGCATTATTCAAAATTCACAGCATAATAAATCAAATTACAAGTTTTTCCCCCAAACTTTTATCATACAGTCCCAAAAGATTAATGAGAATTTTTCTCCAATTTCCTTTCCCTTGAAACCATACAAATTACTGAGTCTTACCTGTGTTAACAGCAATGCTGACACTTTTCCTCATTTGAATTCCAGATGTCTGGGTTTCCATCTTATCAAAATCCATTTGTCTCTCTGGCTGCGGTACGAGGTTGGAGATACCAACACTCGTTGAAGCACAGGGGATCCCGGCTGGGGTCCTAACAGCACAGGTCTGAGTGTCCAAAAGCCGTTGAATCTGCAATACAAATAATAAAAGGAATAATGATTTGTGGAATTTTTACAAAGCTCAAGTGTTTTGAAACATATTAAAATTGCCATGTCGATTGGGTCATCATTCCCTTTACTTTGGGTTTTGTAGATGAAGCATCGATAATTTTGATGCCTCATCTCCTTCCTCCTCCCACCCCCTCGTCCCCTCCCAACAAAATAGTTATGGTCTTAATATCCCTTGCAAGGCAACATTCAAGATAGCTAAACTAGTAGGAATATATTATTTCATTTTCCTACACAAATATTTTATATTGAAGTAATAATTAACCTGAGCTTGAAGCAGCTTTAGTTGTCGGTCTTGTTCCACGAGCATCTTGTAAGCATCAACAGGCAAACCCATGGCTCCATTTGCTTCTTGGTCAGGCCCCATTCTAACCCCAGAAAAGGGCACACACGCAGAAGGTCCTGTACAACTTTTACATGGGTTTTGCTGTGAAGCATGTGGATTTCCTAGTGATTTTATATTGGTGTTCTTTGGAGGTGAACCATTCACCTGCGATTGGAAACTCTGGTTCATGGGGCTGGTATTACCATATACAGCATTATAGTGGGAAATAGGTGAAAGCCCCAGATTTTGGTGACAAACTACAGGGTTACAGTCATGACATATAGGTGAGTGGACCCCTGTAGAACCATAAGTTAGGCCATTTCCTTGCCAATTGGCATTCATTGAAGGTACGCAGTAAGGCCCATGATGTTGGCAGCAATTACAGTAGTGAGTTGGATATTGAATAGGGAAATGCGGTGGTGGCCCCATCATCGGAATTTCAGAAGTTCTTACTGGCGAATGAGGCAGGAAGGTGGGAGTATGCTGCAGAGACGGTCTATTGGATTTGATCGGAGAAGGTGGCTGTCTGGTGTTGGGCAGAGATTGCCTGCCTCTGGAAGGAAATGCCCCTTTTCTCAACACTACATTATGCAATGCCTCAACCCTATTAGTCGGTGAAAGCAATTTGGGTTGGTCCATGGTGCTATCTGGTGAAGGGCCACTTAGTGGAGTAGAGGATGATGATGATGAACAGGAGGAGCTAGAAGTCTTCCTCACAAATTGCCTACTTTTTTGAAAATTGGTATGTTGCGGTGGTGGCATTTCTCTATTGGACTTGGCAGATGGTATTGATTGCTTTGAAGGAGGACAAGTTTGTTTTTGAAATGGTGCTGCCCCATGGGATACCAATCCAGGTTGCCTATTTTCTGAATATGGTTTCATTAAATTAAAATTTCCACATGTTGCATTCTTTTTTGGAGGCATGATTGGAGCCTTATTTTGATGTGGTTTTGTAGTAGAATTCTTTGGCTCTATAAAGCTTCCATCAAATACTATTGATAGCTCAGGCACAGAAGGGCAGATCCTTGGAAACTGTATTAAAAAAAAAAGTCAATATTTTTGCATGCACAGTGGAAGAAAAGGTTTTGAGTGACAAAGTGATTGACACACTTCAATCTGATCTTTGGTTAATGTAAACAGGGTAGTTTTACACTTTGGTTAGTATATTCCACCCACGGTTTGCTATTGCTCTACATATATATTTTTTCAGGGGAGGGGAAAGGGGTAAGTCTACAGTTCAAATCGCATGGAACCACAGTATTTCACTTTAAGCCAAATGATTCCCTGAAGCTCTGCCAATGATGCCTTCTCACAGATAGTAGAAGAACTCACTAGACATTCAACCAATTTCCCCAAATATATAATTATATTAGAATATATATTATATATACACGTTTTAGACACAATACAGATTGAAATGCATTTCACAATCAAAATACAACTTGGATTGAAATGATACCATCTTCATGACATGTTCTCGCGCATCATGCATTACTGTTTTTTTACAACACAGAACACAGCCCATCCTGTCATATTTATCATCCAAAGTATTAGTCCTTATACATTTTGATCATACATCTCTACACAGTTGGAGATTATTTTCTTGTCGACCCAAATAGATTAAAAGGTCACGAAGCAACTCAGCAGTTTTGTATTAAATTCCGCCTTCTGTAACACTGACGTTTATTTCAATTGTAATCACTTTTTCAAATGTGATAGAGCATTTAATGGGCCATTAACAAATCAAAAATAACTGAATACTGTACCTGCTGGCCAACAGGGTGAGGGCTTGGCATTGGTCGTGGAGAAAGATCCTCTTCCCCCACACCAGAGTCCTGATCTCCACCAGATATCTTGTTTGAAGGCAATTCAAGCTGCAGACTGAAAAATAAAGTGTGATACCAGGTTTTACTTTAGGGTGTAATATTCCTATTGCAATGAAACTGAGTTTAGCCCATCAAAAAGTTCAGCATGAAAAACTGTATGCTGGGTTTCCTGTGCTTTTAGGCACATTATATCAATAATAATAACTGTTTGTGGGACACTTCTGTGTGCAATTGGTTGCCGCATTTCGCCCACAAAATATACAGTCAACTCACTTAACAGTATATTCAGTGAAACGCTTTGAAACATCTCAAAGACGTAATAAGACACTATCAAATGAAAATATTATTATTATCAGCACCTTTGTATGACATTAAGTGGAGGAACACTCACCAATTCCCTACAATTTTGCTAGCCACCTCCTTGAAGAAATCACTCTCCGAGTTCTGATTTTCACTAAGTTCAAATTCAATTGGTTGTTTTCCTGATGATTCGGCATTCTAAAACATAAAGCAATTTAATTGGAGTTCAATTTGCATTCAGAAACAAAATTACAAGCATTGAGTTAAAATCCAATCATGATTAAAATCAGCACTGTACCTACATGCCATTTTTTGTTATTCATATTATTCTACCGAACTCTGAGACCTTAGCTTTTACATGCAATATTCTCCTTCAAAAGAACTTAATATACTGTACAACATCCATATAGCATATTGCAATTTGAAAAGTGCTATTGTACACTTTTACCTGTTAAACTATTATTGGCAAGTACTGTAGATTATGTGGGAAAGCAGGTTCATTTTTAATTATTAAATTGTCTTACAAAGGTGTGCAAACATTAAGTTGTGGAATTACTTGTTTAAAAAAGAAATATATTTTCTACTCATAAACCCCCATGGACATACCTTGTAAAGATTTATTACTTCAGTGCTGGTAAGAAGCTGAAAATCTAGTTTCTGGTGCTCACCATAAGGGTGACATTCATAGAATTCTGGCTCCTTGTGTGTAAGTGAATATAGCACCAGAAGAAAACTTTTCTGCTCAGTTGAGAATACCCTGTACAAAAACAAATCACATAGCAGTAAAGAGGTACACAAACATTTCAGTTAAAACCTTTTAAAATATAGTATGTGGACTCAAAGACAAGACAGTTGCTCAAGTAAATTTAAAGTTGGTAGTAACGGTCTGCATTTGATTTACAACAACTTGCATTTATATAGCGCCCCTCACGCAGGATAGCGTCCCTGTGTGCTTGATAGCGGTAGAACCTGACACTAAGCCAGGCAGAGGTGACTGTAGGCACTGTCGAAGAAAAGGGTCTTCAGGCACGACCTGAAGATGAGCAAGATGGAGGGATAGAGGAACAGTGTTCCAGAGTTTCGGGGCATAGTGGCTGAAACCGCGGCCACCGATGGTGGAACGGAGGGCACCAGGGACATGCAAAAGGCTGGAGCTGATCGAGTGGAGGCAGCAGGTAGTGGATTGGAGGGTAAGCAGGTCGGACAGGTAGGGCGTAAAGCGATTTGAAAAAGAGTGTGAAGATCTTGAAATCGATCCATTCGGCGAGTGAAGCCTGGCTAAAACTGGTGTGATTTAAAAAACAATATAAACATATGTTTAAAAAGTCAAATGCAGACCAGCACATATTCCAAAGAACCAATGAGTATTACACAGAAAATAACACTAATTGGGTATTAGTTACACATTTTATAAACAAAGGAAGTAAGATTTATCTTTGTTGGATAAAGCAATGTAAATTCAAATTTAAAAAAACTCACAACTCACCTTTCTTGAATTGAAGAGCTGAACATATAACGTAAACAGCTGGCCCAGACTTGTGGACTTTGAATATGGATTACACCACTCAGCCAACTGGAAAGGCAAATACAAAATCATTTGATTCAACATTGCTTTTAGAGCATGATGCCGATACTTAGTTAATGGGATCTAATTGCTAGCCTGGATTTGAAGACCGGGTGCAATATATGCCCTGGATTCATTGGGTCAATAAACAGAGATACTCATTTTTTAGTTACATGAGCTATAGCCTCATATCAAGTCATGTAGCTCAACGGTTAAAGCATTTGCCTCGCAAGCAAGAAATCTGGGCTTGATTCCCGCTAGTGCGAAATGTTGGGCAAGTTTCCTTATTCCAGACGCCTCTGTTTACCTAACAGTAAGTAGGAACACGGTCGTTAATCGATTGATGGATCGCTTTGCTGGGGGTAATAATTCCTTCAAAAAAAATAATAAATTGGTTACTTCAATCCATGACTGTTTGTGGGACACTGTTCTGCACGATTGGCTGCTGGGTTTTGCCCACAAAATGTACAATCAATTCACTTTACAGTATATTCTGTGAAGCGCTTTGCGACATCTTGAAGACCCTATAAGGCGCTATATCAAATGCAAAGATTATTATTATACATGTGTGTAATCTATGCTAATTTATCCAACTATTTTAATATTTAGATTAAATTCTTAAACCAAAAATATTCTGAAATTGCTTCAATTACTTAAGAATTTAATATTCTCTGTAAGTATTTTTTTTTCCTTCAGGTAAACATTGTATACTTACATTCCTACTAAAGGCAGAGTGAAAGCTTTGGGATCAGATTCAAGAATTAACAAAAGCTTTCGTGTTTGATCCATTGTAAGGTACCTACAATAAAATAAATATGTTCTTTACATTTTCATCAATTGCAGTTGGTTAAGCTAAATACAAAATCTAAGTTAAATATAAAATCCCCATACAGTATTGTCATAGATTGTCATTTTACAAGCTACTGATGACAGAATAATTGGTTCTTATGACTGTGGTCAACAATCATAATGAAAAGGGAACAAAAGTCTCTACAAATATGTATTAACAATTGAAAATAATGATGTAGAAAAACTCATTTTTTTTAAATATAAAAAGTTATAAATGATCACGGGAACGAAATGGCTTAAGAATCAAACATGGTTTTCTAATAATGGCGTTCAACTGGTACAGATGGCTTGAAACCATTCAACAACAACAAGATTGCATTTGTAGAGCGCCTTTCACGTCGGGAGGACGTCCCAAGGCGCTGTACAGTTGGGTCAGGACCCGAGCAGGGGGGAAATGGTCAGGGTGAGGGAAGGGAACGAGGAGGGGGTAGAGAGTCAAGAGGGGAACTGAAGGCACAGTCAAAGAGAAGGGTCTTGAGACCGGCCTTGAAGGAGGAAAGGGAGGAAGCGGCGAAGGCACTGGGGGATGGAGTTCCAGAGCCTCGGGGCTGAGAGGCTGAAGGCCCGGCCACCGATGGTAGGGCGGTTGGGGCGGGGGACGTGGAGCAGACCAGAGCCAGAGGAACGGAGGGTACGGGCGGGTAGGTAGGGGGATAGTAGGTCGGAGAGGTAGGAGGGAGCGAGGCCGTGAATGGCCTTGTAGGTGAGGATGAGGATCTTGAATTGGATCCTATGGGGGATGGGGAGCCGGTGGAGGGGAGCGAGGGTGGGAGTGATGGGGTCGCGGTGTCTGGTGCGGGACACTACACGAGCTGCAGAGTTCTGAATGACCTGCAGTGTGGAGGGAGGGCCGGGAAGGCCGGTGAGGAGAGAGTTCCCATAGTCCAGCCTTGAGGTGATAAAGGCGTGGACCAGAGTTTCAGCCGCGCGAGGGATGAGGTAGTGCCGTAGTCTGGCGATATTCCGGAGGTGATGGAAGGCAGTGCCAGTTGTGGTGCGGATATGAGAGAGAAAGGACAGCTCAGGGTCGAACAGAACGCTGAGGTTCCTGATGGCTCTGAGAGGTGGAGAGTGCAGCCTTGGAGCTGATGCTATCAGTGCTTGAGGTGCGGAGGCGCTGACGTGAGCCAATCAGGAGGGCCTCAGTTTTACGCACGTTGAGCTGAAGAAAGTTGTCTCTCGTCCAGGACTCAATGTCGGACAGACAGCTGTCAGGACATCGGGGGTCGTGGAGTTGAGGGTAGAGGAGGAAAGGTAGAGTTGGGTGTCATCCGCATACATGTGGAAGTTAACTCCATGTCTGCGGATGATGTCACCACAGGGGGAGCATATAGAGGGTGAAGAGGAGAGGACCGAGGACAGAGCCCTGAGGGACACTGCATGAGACAGTGTGGGGGGTGGAGGAGAAGCCGTTTGTGGAAACAAAGTGAAGACGGTGGGAGAGGTACGACCTAAACCACTCAAGGACAGGGCTTTGAAGGTTGAGGTGGGAGGACAAGCGGTGGAGTAGGATAACGTGGTCGACCGTATCGAATGCGGCCAATAGGTCGAGGAGGACGAGGAAGCAGAGGGAGCCCTGGTCACAGATGGTCAGGATGTCATTGGTGACCTTGACCAGGGCAGTTTCTGTGCTATGGGCAGCACGGAAACCCGACTGAAGGGGTTCGAATAATGAATGGGTGGAGAGGAAAGAGCGCAGCTGGGAGGCGACAACTTATTCCAGGACCTTGGACAGGAAGGGGAGGTTGGAGATGGGCCGGTAGCTTGATAGCTGCGATGCATCAAGGGAGGGTTTTTTCAAGGTGGGAGTGATGGTGGCAGTTTTTAAGGGAATGGGAACAGAGCCAGAGGAGAGGGACGTTGATGATGTCTGTGATATGTGGGGCAAGGAGGTGGAGCTGAGAGATAAGGAGTGGAGTGGGGATGGGGTCAAGGGAGCAGGTGGTGGGTTTCAGGGATAGGATGAGTTTGGTGACAGAGGGTGGGGAAACAGGTACGAAAGTGTGTAGGGGAGGATGGGTAGGAGTCGGAGAGTGGGAGGGAGGGGGTGGGGGGTGGGTGGATGTTGGAGGGGAAGTGACCGCGGATTCAAATCCCATTTGCCATTTTCCAGATTTACAAAGGACAGTGGCTCTGTGATACTACGTAACCTCTCAAATGGTATGTCAGCAGAGGGACAAATTCTAAAAATTAAGATATCCAAAATGAAACATTGAGCAAGTGGGTAGCATAAAATCTATACATTTAGATTTCATTTTGAAACATCTCAATATTCACGGTCCTTAAACTTCTGAAAGCAAAACGGATTCATTCCTAGCAAAAGAATAGAGTAGTTGCTTCTAGCTTCACTCGTTCCTCTCCCGCCACCCGGTTCATTAACCCCTCTAATCGGATTTCCATACCGCCCACAGCACAGAAACAGCTTTGGTCAAAGTGACAAATGATATTTTGTCCATCTGCGACCAGGGCTCAATCTGCCTCCTCGTCTTCCTTGACCTCTCTGTTGCCTTTGATACCGTTGACCACTCTATTTTCCTCCCCTATTCTCTCACCTCAACCTTCAGGGTTTTGTCCTTGAATGGTTCAGGTCCTACCTCTCACATTGTCTCCACTTCACCTCCACAAAGCGTCCCCTTTAGCCCCCACACCGTCTCATGCAGCGTTTATCAGGGCTCTGTCCTTGGTCCCCTTCTCTTCAATATCTATATGCGCCCTCCAGGTGACATCATTCGCAGTCATGGGGTCAACTTCCACATGTGCGCAGATAAGATGACCCAAATCTATCTCTCTGCCTCCACCCTCGACTCCAGGGTCACTGCTGTCCTGACAGATTGTTTGTCAGACATCAAGTCCTGGATGGGAGCTAACTTTCTACAGTTGAACGTCAACAAGACCGAGCCCCCCTTATTGGCTCCTGTCAGCACCTCCATGCCTCATCACCGTCCAAGAATGCACACTCCATCTCACTGAGCCAGCCCAGAACCTTGGCGTTTTGATTGACCCTCAACTGTCCTTTCTACCCCACATCTGTGCCATGGCCCAATCTGCCTTCTCCCACATTGCCCAGCTCCGCCACTGCCTCACCCCTCAGGCTGCCAAAACCCTCATCCATACATTCATCACATCTAGGCTCGACTACGCCAACTCCCTGTTGTCAGCCTTCCCAACTCTTCCCTCCACAAGCTGCAGATCATCCAGAACTCTGCAGCTCGTGTCGTCTCCCACACCAGGCCCCGTGACCCCATCACCCCCACCCTCGCCCACTCCATATCCCCAGAGGATGAATTTCAAAATCATCATCCTCTCGTTCCTCCACGGCCTCACCCCTCCCTACCTCTGTGACCTGCTGACCGCATATCAACCCGTCCACTCCCTCCGCTCAGCAGGTTCTGGCCTGCTCTATGTTCTTCGCCCGGCCCATTCCACCATCGGCGGTCGGGCCTTCAGCTTTTCTGTCCCCATCCTATGAAACTCCATCCCGCATTCCCTTTGCCTCGCTTCCTCTCTTTCCTCCTTCAAGGCGCATCTCAAAATCCTCCTCTTTGACTGAGCCTTCAGCCCCCCTCCTACCCTCACCCATCCCGACTCAGGTCCAAATCCATGACTCTCCAGCGCCTTGGGACATCCACCCGATGTGAAAGACACTATACAAATGTAATTTGTATAGTGTCTTGTGGAGTGGTAATTAGGTAACAAATATGCATTGTAAATTACAACATTTCTAGAAATTTGGTGAAACTCTCTTTCCATTCAAGTCGAACTTACCCAAATTTACATGTTCCCTGAACCTGAGCAATGTTGATCGGACTGGTTAAATTTCTTGCCAAAGCTGTAGGGATTATAGGAACTGGATTGACTGGTGTAGCATCAAAGATGTTTGCTACTGTAACAGCTGCCCAGTGAAGTTCAAGACGCAAACTGTCCATGCTCTCAATGCAGGTAATGTGGGCCCTCATAGTAAGAAGTCTAGAATGGTCGATTGTTTCCTTACTGCAGCAATAGCAGTGCAGCATCTAGTAAAATCAAAATTCATAGTTATTGACAGAATAATCAAAATTCAGTTATTAACAGAATAATGCAATCTTTCAATACATAAGTGACATGGGAGAGGAAAAGAGAAAGCCAGAAAAAATTTAAAACGAAAAGCAGGGCAAGCAGCTATATTCTCTTTGTTCATATAGAATTAATTGTGCTATTTTTAGTTTACAAGGCTACTATTACATTAATGAAACCGTTATTGATATTCGGGTAGTACCATCAATACATATTGTAGTATTGAGCTTTGCTTAAGCATCACAAAGTGCAAGTTTCAATAAAATTATGTTTTAAATAAAAGTAAACACAAAGAAGACAAATTACACTGGACCTCCCAGTACGATAAGGACTAACAGATGGAGATAGTGAATTATAAGCAGTTACATTATTTATTAAGGTACAGTTAACGTGGTACAGTTGGAATTGAAGGGTTGCAACATATGTGTATGACAGTGAAGCAAAACCATCATTCATTTTTAATCTGTTATTTACAACCAACATTAACTCCACCTATGACAGACCTCCCATTGCAGATCACCTACTGATCAAGCATTTAGAGACCAATTATAAAATTAAACGGATACTGAATACTGATGCTAATTAGCCACCACATTAGAAAATCGTATAATCATTGTAATGAAATTCACAAGAAACAAGTATAAAGTCACCAATCAGCTTAATTTTTTTTCACTCACAAAAGGTTGTCTAATATGTGGAGACTCCTGCGTTATAGATATGGGCATCCAATGCCAGATTGGTAGAGAAGCAATTCCAAGATTAACATAGACTAAATGTACCTAACAGAGGAGCACCTTAATGTTGGCAGCTGCAAGCTAAGATAAAAGCATGGATTTTATCTAGAGGCGCCAAGCCCACCCAAAAAGATTGTGCTGGTTCCTCTGAAAGGTGTTCAGCGTGCTTGTACCCGCCATGCAGGGGTTTTGGCAAATGTGGATTCCCAATTATGGCACAAATCTGCTTGTTGCAGCCACAATTGTCAAATTCTACAGTACTAGCATCTTAGATAAGTAAATATTTAAAGTATAATATAAATACACCATTCACATCACAATGCCTTGCATACAGTGCTGAAGTGAAAGACAAAAAATCTAGACAAATTTGTATTAGTTTCTATGCAGATTTGAGTCTATAATCACAATCTGTGAAAAAATTTAGATTTAAATACCTGAAATGCAATGTTAAAATCTTCTGCAGAATGGACGATGATGTCGCTGAAAGTAGTTCCCCGTGCATCAATAATGCAGGGAATGAGGAAATCCCCAGGAAGAAGAGCAGTAGGGATCTTTTCTGAACGGCCTGGAACTTCTCTCCCGGGATCCAGGCGATCCACCATTAATGCAACACCTTCGTCATCTGAATTAAAAAAAAGTTAAAGATCATATTATTTAAATGAACAAAACCTTTTAAACAATGAAGATGTATATTTAAATCAATACTCATTCAGAAAAAGAATAACCTATAACCTTGTCTTCACTCGATAAAGGGTCACCATGTGGTATTTGTGAATAAAATGTGTACAATTTACAAAAGGATACTTAAGTAAAATTTATTGTTAAATAACAATTTTGTTGTTAGCTGAAAAAAAGCAAATCGCTGACAACTGAAAAGGTTAGACACAAAGAAATAACTATTTTTAAAAAAATCACTTTCCTGGTTTCAGCTAAAGTGTCCAGGCCAGTTCATAGTGTGAAGGAAAGATACAAGAACAATAAGATGGGGAATTTGGCAGGTATCCGATTGAGGAGGCATTGCACCCATGCTGGATTGCCAGCTCACCCAGCATCCACAATTTACCACAGGGGTTATCAGATCAAAATGAACCTAGGCAAAGGAATAACTTACCAACATCGTGTACAACTGATCCTAGCAGAAAACAGAAGAACTGATTTCTTTCAGTCTGTTTGGCATGGCGATGAGCTAAGCGTAGAGTCCTCTCCACCACAAGCAATTTTGGGTTTCTTTGAAGAAATTTTGTACAATGTTCACAAGATTAGATAAATAGCCTTGTTACTTGCCATCCTTATAATATATTATATATAAAAATATTTAAACGTTTAAACATTTAAGTCATGTTCTTAGAAGGAATAAGAGTTTTACAAACCTAAAACAAAATTGAGTAAATTAAGAATCAGCTATATACAGTATTTACCTATAATAAGCAAGGTGCAGACTTATTGTATCACCAAGAGGAGCTGGATTCCATAATGCCACCTTCGTCTTGGGGAAGCTCAAAGGTATTAGTCCATGCTCTGGAGCCCTTTAAATAACATGAATTTTGGATTTCAGGAAATGCATTATAAAATGAAAGCTCTGAAAACATATATTTTTAAATCCTTAACTGAAGAAAACAATATTACTGTACTTACCATTGCGCCCGGTGGCTTTCAGTATTATTGTAAGGAAACTCCATTAGATGAAAAAGTAGGGTTTTCAAACATACTCAAATATTCATGTTCTGAAATAAAATATGTAAAATGTTACAGTTAAGTTTTATTTACTTTCAAAATTAGTTCCTTAGTAAATCATTTTCAGGCAGCTTGGTAGGAGGTTGTAGAGGTAAGGGGGAAAATTGAGATCATGGAGAACTTTGAAGGTGAGGATTACGATCTGGAACTGTATCCACTGTGTGATGGGAAGCCCGTGGAGTCGGGCAAGGATGGGGGTGATAGGATTACGGAGCCTGAGGTGGGAGAGGACATGGCTGCGGCTGCAGAGTTCTGGATGATTTGCAGCCTATGGAGGGAGGAATTGGGGAGGCTGAAAAGTAAGGTGTTTGTATAGTCAATATACCTAATAACTAAGATTTAAAAAAGCCTCTCATAAAGACTGACACAAGAAACCTACTATTATTATGGGCACACATAACTATTAGCAATTTTTTTTGGAAACATAAAAATAATCTTTGGAAAGAGAGGGCATAGAAAATAATGTTAGGGGAGAGAAGGGGTGAAATGAAAATCTCAGGGAAGGTCTCAATTTTAAAAAAAATTCCCACAGTCGATGCCGAATGAGCTAAAATGTCATGAGGTTCTCACTGTCTCTTTAATAATAATCGTTGCCTTTAATATTGCGCCTTATCACGTTTTCGAGACTTCTCAAAGCGCTTCACAGAATATACTGTAAAATTCAATTGACTATCTACATTTTGTGGGTGAAACACGGCAGCCAATTGCGCACAGCAGTGTCCCGCAAACAGCAGTGGATTAAGCAACCAATTTTTTTTTAAGGAATTATTATCCCCGAGAAAAGCGATCTGCCAAATGGCTAACAATCGGATTCCAACTTACTGCCAGGTAAACAGATTATTATTATCATTATAATAATCCTTTCATTTAACGCCTCAACAGTGTTGCAGTCAGTAGGAAACCTGTCAAAAGCAGCTGGACCGCCCTCCCTCAGCTCAGCGTGGTTCAGCTCGGGGGTAAAGGAGGTGAAATCCCTGCAGAAGAAACGGGGTCCTGTAGCTTCCAGAAAGGCCTCATACGCCCCTCCCCTCCTCCCACTCAATTTTAAAAGAAATATTCCCACAGTATATCCGGCGAAGCGCTTTGAGACGTCTCGAAGACGTGATTATGGCGCTATATATATCAAATGCAAGGATCATTGAATGAATAACTACCCTCGTGTCGAGACATTAATTAGGCAAGTTTCCCTACTCCGCCTCGGGTTACCAGCAGTAAGTGGGAACCCGGTTGTCAGTCGATTGGCGGATTGTTTTTATGGGGGTAACAATCTCTTCCAAAAAGAATAATAATTTGGTCACTTCAACCCACGGCTGTTGTTTGTGGGGACGCTGCTGGGTGCGATTCGCTGCCGCGGTTCGCCCACAAAACACACAGTCACTACACCTTACAGTGTATCCTGCGAAGCGCTTCGAGACAACAACAACTTGGGTTTATATAGTGCCCTCCGCGCCGGACGGCGGCTCAGAGGGCTTCATAGTAACGGATCCCGGGCCGAGCCGGGGGTGGGGGGGGAGAGAGCCAGTGGGGAGGGGGGGAAACGGTGACCAAAGGTGCGGTCAAAAAGGAAGGTCTTGACCAGAGACCTGAAGATGGGAAGAGAGGGAGCGAGACAGAGGGAGTGAGGGAGGGACGGAGCTCCAGAGCCTCGGGGCACAGTGACTGAAGGCCCCGCGTCCCAGAGACGTCTCGAAGACATGATCAGGCGCCGTATCAAATGCGAGGATTATTATTATTATTAGTTATTATTATAATACTGACTTCTTCCTCTCGTCAGTCACTCACCGTGAGGGCAGCTCCGACAGCCAGCAACCCCGGGGTCAAATCACCTCGGCCCACGGCCCGATCGCCAACCGTGTCCGGGTAACGAAACACCGCCTTTTTTTTTCTTCTTCTTCTTCTTCTTCTCCTCTCTCTCTCTTCCCCTTCGTCTCTCAGTCTCTTTTCTCTCTCTCTCTCTCTGTGTTAAGTTCATTTAACTCAAATGTAAATATGGCGCCATTTCGGGTCCCGGTGCGCGGGGCGACCAATCGCGCGCCGCTTCTCCCGCTCCGGCCAATCGCGCGCCGCCTTCGCGCCCAAACCCAACCGTCAACGGAAGACACACAAACCCCCGTCCCTCCCCCCACCGCACCCGCAATTCTGCGCATGCGCCAGAGCCTGGGCGCCAGACGGCTGGGCGGGACGATGCCTGTGGGGCGCGGATTGGGCGGTTTCACGCCCCCCCATTGGGCGTCTTTTCCTTTTTTTAAAAACAAAAAAGACGATTGTAGTAAACCCGCCGCAAACGTCTTAGATTTTTTTCCTGTTTCTTGCACGATTTAAAAAAAAAAGCCTGAAGCTAAATCGGCCACACTCATTGCTTCGCTTACAACCCGCCCGTCGCCAGGGGCAACGCGTGATATTGGGCTACTCTCTCCGGCGGCCTTTTTTAAAAAAAGTTTGAGAGCGGAGGGAAGGAAGGGGGAGGGGTCTGCTTGTGGGAGTCTCTGCGCATGCGCGGCCCGGGCTGGGCGTGGCTTTGGGAGGAGGGGGTGTGAGTGCGCAGGCGCGGGGAGGTGAGCTTGACAGGAGGGGTTGATGTCCTGATGTTGTTGTACCTGTGATGTGATGACACTAAGTTAGACTTGGGGGGTGGGGGATGGGGGGATTGGGGGGTGGGGATTGGGGGGCTATGGAACCGCAGGAGGCCGCAGAGGTCTTTTGCCGGTTTTAACCCCGACAAAAAAGAAGTTCTGCAGAGGTAAATGCAAGGTAACAACGCCAATAATAATAATAATAATAATAATCTGCACTTAACAACAACAACAACAACAACAAAATGACGCCTTTCCACTCCGGGAGGAAACGTGGCTGCCCACAGGGCGCTGGGCAGGCGCCGAGTTCGACACGGCTCCTTATCATGCCGTCGAGTCGGCTCGAAGAAGCGCTTCGCAGGATACGCCGTACAGCGCGGTGACCGCGTATTTTGAAACGCGGGTGAAACGCGGCAGCCAATCGGGTGGCCCACAAACAGCTGTGGATTGAGCGACCACATATTTTTGTGCAGCAATTATTAACACCCGCAAATCGACTAATAACTGGGTTCCGACTTATTGCTAGGTAAACAGGTGTGTGGAGTGAGGAAAGTTACCTAAGGTTTTGGCCCGAAATGCTTAAGGTATTTGATATTGGAAGTAAGAGTAGGAGAACAGGTGAACTGCAAAACTCATGTACTCAGCAGATGGGATGGAATAATAATCCTTACATTTGGTATAGCGCCTATCATGTCGGGAAGACGTCTCCACGCGCTTCACAGGGTATACTGTAAAGAGTAGTGCCGTAAGTGAATGCAGCAGCCACTATTGCACACAACATAATCCTACAAAGAACCGCAAAGTAAATTATAAATTTTATCTGTTCCTGTATAGCACATTATAAAGCTTTGAGTCATAGATTTTTCTTGCATGTGATAGTTAATCTCAGGATCAAATCTCACAATAATAATGTTCGGCATTTCAATTATAAATGACTTTGAACACCCTAGCTATTAACATTGAATGGGTAATTGTTTTATAAATTGATAATATGAATATATTAACTGATCAAAAATAGAATTTCAATGAGTTTAGAGTTTGGGTGGGCATCCTTTGAGTGCTTAATTTGCCTGACTATTCTGTACAAATATTCAGAATTGTAGAGTCTCAGGTCCTCAAAGTTTGTCCAATGTCACATTGCTTACATCCTTAAAGCTGCTTTCAGTTTCAAGCCACGTTTACTCCCACTGTGAGGATTTTAAAATGAATATAGCCAATCCATTTGTGCATGCTAATTAGAGCCAGTTAAGAGTTAGAAGTCCTAGAAATAAAGTTTATTCATCAGGAAATTCCTGTGTTAGTAGTGGGCCTGTGTGTTTAGTAAATAGTACAGTACGTACATTTGAAATGGCACCTATAGCATTGAAATGTCTCAAAATGTTTCCCAGGTAATCGCTGTAAACTAACGTGAATATTTATTTGTAGATAAACCTGTTCAAACTAGTCATTAGTGAGTAATTATATGTTTTTAAAAGATCTCTAGATTTGATCCCTTTGTTCATATAAAAATTACACAGGCTGATTGTAGAGTAACAGAAACGATGGAATCATTCTATTATTATTAACAGAAGATGGGAATTGTAATAAACCAAGGTCCCATCCATCTGTTCTTCAGGTGGTTGCCATTTAAATTGTGGCCATTTTTAAAAAATCACAATCACCACACTGGATAGCAGCTTGTTGTGAAATATTTTGATGCATTTTGACACAATAAAAATATATTTTCGCCCATAAATATATAGTCAATTCATTCAAATGCAAGGATTATTATACATATATTATAAGGAACAATAAAAGGAGGGGAAGTTTTTTTTTGCTGTATGGGACAAGATTGGACAGTACAGAGACAGGGAGATAAGAATGAGTTTTGCATTCTTTTCATGTTTCAAAGTTAGAAATGTCAGTGACAAATATGAGGTGGAGGGGAGGGAGAATAAACCTGCCCTTATATTGTATTTCATCCAGGAATTGTGTTTTGATGTCCATATGTTGATTTCAATACTCTTCAATACCCACTGAAAGCAAACAGGAATCAGCAATGTGGCAATTTGACTTCCTAAAGCAGGAGATCTTTTTGCTGCCCTCTTGGACTCCCATTCACTTTCGAAAGCAGAATGCTTTGAAATGCCTGACAAACACTCGTATATCAGATAATAAGGCATTCGGGAATGATTACAGGACAGTAATCTAATCACAGGCTCAAAATGCATGAAGATTAGATTGCAGATTTAAAGGCACTGTAATAAATATAATTCATGTTTCCTGTATAATTTTCTTTTCCTTGTATGTTCTTGTGCTGCTAATGACGGTTGTGCTTAAAACTCTTAATATAGAGTGGCACTTGCAGTGATAATTCTGACAGAATTATTCGGGGTTTCAGAGATGCAAATGTTTTTTAACTATTTTCTCACAATCTGAGCAGAAAGCAAGTGACATTATGCTTCTGATTCAGGTGTTTACAATAACAAAGGGATTTGATAGGATAGCTACAGAGAATATATTTCTCTTAAATTAGAACTAGTAAGAAATCAGGAAACATTTTTACTAACACTGATCTGGCTTTGGCTTAATGGAATGTCACTCATGCAATGTAAATTGCACAGGTTTAAATATATGTATTATATTTAAAAGATGGTTGGTTTAAAGAGAAATTCCAGTAAAGCAGTGTATCAATGCAATTTTAGAAACTAATAGTCCAAATATGGGTGATATTTGTGGAGTCTTGTAGCTTAGTGGTTAGAGCACTTGCCTTGCAAACAAGAGGACCTGGGTTTGTTTCTCAGCAGAGCAAAATGTTGGGCGAGTTTCCCCACGCCTCTGTTTACCCAGCAGTAAGTAGGAACCCGGTTGTTAGTTGATTGACGGATTGCTTTTCCGGGGGTAATAAAAAAATAATAATTTGGTCACTTACTCCAACACTGTTTGCGGGACACTGTTGTGCGCAATTGGCTGCTGTGTTGTGCCTACAAGGCAGTCAATTCAGTTCACAGTGTATCCTGTGAAACGGTTTGAGACGTCTTGAAGACATGAAAATAAGGCGCTATATCTGATGTAAGGATTATTATTATATGGGCCGCATGTTTTGACACCCCTGAGATAGATGCTTTGGGCAGAGTGAACATACATCCCCAATTTCCAGGGACAGTACCCGGATGAGGTATTGTTTCAATGGCCAGATTTGAACTGTCTTGAGTTCAGCCACAAACTTCTCCCAACACGGGTCTGAATTGCTGTACACTGTCCAGCGCCTCGGGACGTCCTCGCGACGTGAAAGGCGCTAATACACATGTAATCTTCTTGTTGTTAATTCCAAAAACAGATACACTCATTAGAATCGCGGAGGATTCACTTTTTAAAGTATATAATGTGTCCCCAGATTTGGTTTACGGCGCCTAAAGGACTTGCAAGTAATACAAAAAAAAGAACTGTGCCGAGCAGAGCGGGAGGCGGTGGGAGCAGAGAGTGTTGATTCTTTCAAAAGCAAATTAAGATCGATTTGCTTCAGGAAACATTATCTCGGGATAACAGTGTATAGCTCTGGGACACGACGTGGGGCGAGCGACCGCCGGGATGGTGGAAGGCGAATGGACCGCGGTCATTCTTTGGTCCAGCGACGACGACCACCGCGACGACGACAACTTGCGTTTGCCCGGCACCTCCCGCGCGGGGGGTAGCGTCCCAGAGCACTTGGCAGTGGCGGAGAGGGAACGGGGGGGGGGGGGGTGGGGGGAAGGGGGGCAGAATGGGGGGAGGAATGGGGGGAGGCAGGCGGTTGACCGTAGGCACCGACCTGAAGAATGGGGCGGGAGGGGGGGGGGGGGGATAGAGGAAGAGTGACCCCGGGTTATGCTCTTGCAGTATAGTAATGGGCTGAGCTGAGGGGATACATGGTTTGGGGGTGAGGGCCAAACCCCCCTCCCCACCCCTCCCCCTCTATGTGTTTTGGCGGCCAACAGAGCAGTGCTGACTGGAACCCGGAAGTAGTCGCTGGCGGTGACTGAGCAGAGAGGAAGGAGAGAGAGGAGAGGGGAAGGGGCGGTTGTCGAGTTCTCTCTCTCTCTCCCTGTTTGTCTGTCCTCTCCCCCCTCTCCTGTGTTGGGCCGCGGGGCCGCAGTGAGGCAGTGCCGGGGGGGCAGTGCCGGGCGGGCGGGGCCGGGGGGCAGTGCCGGGCGGGGCCGGGCCGGGGGGCAGTGCCGGGCGGGCGGGCGGGGCCGGGGGGCAGTGCCGGGCCGGGCCGGGGGGGCGGGCAGTGCCGGGCCGGGGGCAGTGCCGGGCCGGGGGGGCAGTGCCGGGCGGGCGGGGCGGGGGGGCAGTGCCGGGCGGGCGGGCGGGGCCGGGGGGGCAGTGCCGGGCCGGGCCGGGCCGGGGGGGCGGGCAGTGCCGGGCCGGGGGGCAGTGCCGGGCCGGGGGGCAGTGCCGGGCGGGCGGGGCGGGGGGGCAGTGCCGGGCGGCGGGGCCGGGGGGCAGTGCCGGGCCGGGGGGGCAGTGCCGGGCGGGCGGGGCGGGGGGGCAGTGCCGGGCGGGCGGGGCGGGGGGCAGTGCCGGGCGGGCGGGCGGGGCCGGGGGGCAGTGCCGGGCCGGGCCGGGCCGGGGGGCGGGCAGTGCCGGGCCGGGGGGGCAGTGCCGGGCCGGGGGGGCAGTGCCGGGCGGGCGGGGCGGGGGGCAGTGCCGGGCGGCGGGGCCGGGGGGCAGTGCCGGGCCGGGGGGGCAGTGCCGGGCGGGCGGGGCGGGGGGGCAGTGCCGGGCGGGCGGGGCCGGGGGGCAGTGCCGGGCGGGCGGGCGGGCCGGGGGGCAGTGCCGGGCCGGGGGGGCAGTGCCGGGCGGGCGGGCGGGGCCGGGCCGGGGGGGCAGGGCCGGGGGGCAGTGCCGGGCGGGCGGGCGGGGGGGCAGGGCCGGGCCGGGATCGCATGCTTGCGGTGTGTGTGGGAAGCTCAGTCCGGACACTGCTGAGGATGGCGAACCCCAGGGTGGTGTTTGTGCTGGGAGGGCCCGGCTCCGGGAAAGGCACCCAGTGCAGCAACATAGTGCAGGTGGGTGCCAGCCACAGCCCCTCACACACACCCTCACACACACCCTCACACACACCCTCACACAGCTCCTCACACACCCTCACACACAGCCACAGCCCCTCACACACACCCTCACACAGCTCCTCACACACCCTCACACACAGCCACAGCCCCTCACACACACCCTCACACACCCTCACACACACCCTCACACAGCTCCTCACACACCCTCACACACAGCCACAGCCCCTCACACACACCCTCACACACAGCCACAGCCCCTCACACACACCCTCACACACACCCTCACACAGCCCCTCACACACAGCCACAGCCCCTCACACACACCCTCACACACCCTCACACAGCCCCTCACACACACCCTCACACAGCCCCTCACACACACCCTCACACACACCCTCACACACCTCCTCACACACCCTCACACACAGCCACAGCCCCTCACACACACCCTCACACACCCTCACACAGCCCCTCACACACACCCTCACACAGCCCCTCACACACACCCTCACACACACCCTCACACAGCTCCTCACACACCCTCACACACAGCCACAGCCCCTCACACAGCCCCTCACACACACCCTCACACAGCTCCTCACACACCCTCACACACAGCCACAGCCCCTCACACAGCCTCACACACCCTCACACACCCTCACACACACCCTCACACAGCCCCTCACACACACCCTCACACACACCCTCACACAGCCACAGCCCCTCACACACACCCTCACACACACCCTCACACACCCTCACACACAGCCACAGCCCCTCACACAGCCCCTCACACACACCCTCACACACACCCTCACACAGCTCCTCACACACACCCACACACAGCCCCTCACACACACCCACACACAGCCCCTCACACACAGCCCCTCACACACAGCCCCTCACACACAGCCCCTCACACACCCCCTCACACACACCCTCACACACACAGCCCCTCACACACATCCTCACACAGCCCCTCACACACACCCTCACAACCCCTCACACACACCCACACACAGCCCCTCACACACATCCTCACACAGCCCCTCACACCCACCCTCACACAGCCACACACACACCCTCACACAGCCTCTCACACAGCCACACACACACCCTCACACAGGCCCTCACACACACACACAGCCCCTCACACACAGCCACACGCAGCCCCTCACCCACACCCACACACAGCCCCTCACCCACACCCACATACAGCCCCTCACACACGCCCACACACAGCCACAGCCCCCTACACACACCCACACACAGCCCCTCACAGACACCCACACACACACCCACACACACCCTCACACAGCCACACACACCCTCACACAGGCCCTCACACACACACACAGCCCCTCACACACAGCCACACACAGCTCCTCACACACAGCCACACACAGCCCCTCACACACACCCACACACAGCCTCTCACACACACCCACACACAGCCCCTCACACACACCCACACACAGTCCCTCACACGCAGCCCCTCACCCACACCCACACGCAGCCCCTCACCCACACCCACACACAGCCCCTCACCCACACCCACATACAGCCCCTCACACATGCCCACACACAGCCACAGCCCCCCACACACACCCACACACAGCCCCTCACACACACCCACACGCAGCCACTCACAGCCTCTCACACACACCCACACACAGCCCCTCATACACACCCACACATAGCCACAGCCCTTCACACACACTCTCACACACACACACAGCCCCTCACACACACACACTCCCACAGCAACATAGTGCAGATGGGTGACAGCCACTCACATACACAAAATCCCATACCCTCACAGACTCCTTCACACACAAGGGAGGCCCCTTGGTGAAGGAGAGAGAGAGACTCCCCCAGTGAAGGAGAGAGAGAGAGAGAGAGACTCCCCTAGTGAAGGAGAGAGAGAGAGACTCCCCTAGTGAAGGAGAGAGAGAGAGAGACTCCCCTAGTGAAGGAGAGAGAGAGAGACTCCCCTCGTGAAGGAGAGAGGGAGAGAGACTCCCCTAGTGAAGGAGAGAGAGAGAGAGACTCCCCTAGTGAAGGAGAGAGAGAGAGACTCCCCGAGTGAAGGAGAGAGAGAGAGAGACTCCCCTAGTGAAGGAGAGAGAGAGAGACTCCCCGAGTGAAGGAGAGAGAGAGAGAGACTCCCCTAGTGAAGGAGAGAGAGAGAGACTCCCCTAGTGAAGGAGAGAGAGAGAGAGACTCCCCGAGTGAAGGAGAGAGAGAGAGAGACTCCCCTAGTGAAGGAGAGAGAGAGAGACTCCCCTAGTGAAGGAGAGAGAGAGAGAGACTCCCCTAGTGAAGGAGAGAGAGAGAGAGACTCCCTAGTGAAGGAGAGAGAGAGAGACTCCCCGAGTGAAGGAGAGAGAGAGAGAGACTCCCTAGTGAAGGAGAGAGAGAGAGAGACTCCCCTAGTGAAGGAGAGAGAGAGAGACTCCCTAGTGAAGGAGAGAGAGAGAGAGACTCCCGTGAAGGAGAGAGAGAGAGAGACTCCCCTAGTGAAGGAGAGAGAGAGAGAGACTCCCCTAGTGAAGGAGAGAGAGAGAGACTCCCCTAGTGAAGGAGAGAGAGAGAGAGACTCCCTAGTGAAGGAAGAGAGAGAGAGACTCCCCTAGTGAAGGAAGAGAGAGGAGAGACTCCCTAGTGAAGGAGAGAGAGAGAGAGACTCCCCTAGTGAAGGAGAGAGAGAGAGAGACTCCCCTAGTGAAGGAGAGAGAGAGAGAGACTCCCCTAGTGAAGGAGAGAGAGAGAGAGAGACTCCCCTAGTGAAGGAGAGAGAGAGAGAGACTCCCCGAGTGAAGGAGAGAGAGAGAGAGACTCCCCTAGTGAAGGAGAGAGAGAGACTCCCCTAGTGAAGGAGAGAGAGAGACTCCCCTAGTGAAGGAGAGAGAGAGACTCCCCTAGTGAAGGAGAGAGAGAGAGACTCCCCTAGTGAAGGAGAGAGAGAGACTCCCCTAGCGAAGGAGAGAGAGAGACTCCCCTATCGAAGGAGAGAGAGAGAGATTCCCTTAGCGAAGGAGAGAGAGACTTCCCTAGTGAAGGAGAGAGAGATGCCCCTAGCGAAGGAGAGAGACTCCCCTATCGAAGGAGAGAGAGACTCCCCTAGCGCAGGAGAGAGAGACTCTGCTATCGAAGGAGAGAGAGACTCCCCTGTGAAGGAGAGAGACTCTAGCGAAGGAGAGAGAGAGACTCCCCTGGTGAAGGAGAGAGAGACTCCCCTGGTGAAGGAGAGAAAAACACAGATCCTCTGGTGAAGGAAAGAGAGATAGATCCTCTGGTGAAGCAGGAAAGGGAGGGATGACCTTGTAAAGGTCCAAACGTATGAACAGTAGAAGCAGAGGACATGGCCTGCGACTGAAGGGGGTAAATTCAGAACAAATCTGCGGAAACACTACTTCAGTGTAGTAAATTTATGGAACAGGCTCCCTAGGGAGACGGTGGAAGCAGAAAATATTGTTTCAAAATCAAATTAGGTAGATTTTTAATAGAAAAAAATGTCAGTGTATAGTTTGGGACACGACATGTCACCCGACTGCCAGGGTGATGGAAGTCGAACTAGATGGACCTTGGTCTTATTTCGTCAGCAAATTCTTATGCTCTTATATCTGTCTGCTGATATTAATGGGAAACTGCAATAGATCCAGGTTAACATCAGTGATCTAAATGTTTTGGGAGCAGTGCCTTTGTTTTCAACTAATACTGATATTGTTTTGGTGATATTTGTGTGAATATTGATAGGGGTGTAGAGAGAGGGCCTGTTGGTGATTGATTTGGTGTTGGTGGAGTCCTGTAGCTCAGTGGTCAGAGCACTCGCTTTGCAAGCGAGAGACCTGAGTTCAATTCCAGGCAGAGGGCGAAACCTTGGGCAAGTTTCCTTACTCCACACAGAGCCTAATAATAATCCCTCCAAAACAAAACAATAATAAATTGGTCACTTCAATCTACGACTGTTTGTGGGACATTGCTGTGCGCAATTGGCTGCCGCGTTCGCCCACAAATACAATCAATTCACTTTACAGTGTGTTCTGTGAAGCGCTTTGAGAAGTCGAGAAGACGTGAAAAGCTCTATATCAATTGCAAGGATTACTATATTATATTTAAATGTATTTTGCATCAAGAAATCTGAGATTGCTTAATTTGCCTTTGAAGGGGTCAGTTTTGAATCTTTTTTTATTAAGGAGTTTACCAAAAATGAACAATGCAATGTTTAATCAAACAAAAGCGATGAAGCCAAATGGAGTCATGCGAGACAGACATTTTGTAAAGAGAGGATTTTTGTGTGCATTGCTACCTCTGTGTGGTTTGCATAAATCGTTGCAAAGATTTTGGATAATTTTTCCAAATTTATCATTACGTTTCAGTTAAAATAGTAACTAACTTCATAATCTAAAAGTGAGCGCTTAGAAGTTTAAAAGGCTTAATTTCCAAGTTTGTAAAAATATCTGCATTCAGTTCTCTGTAGTTTGTATCACTCAAACAAAGGGAAATTTGTACCCTTTTGGAGTGTTTTAAGTTATTTTGTAATTAAGTTTCATGTTTGGAGTCCTTTTTCATTCTACTGTATTCTCTGGGAATGTCAAGTGAGTGTATGGACGGGAATCATTGATTTCATTGGTTGCTGAGTCAGTTGTGAAAGGGCATAAATTTAAGCTCACAGGAAAAGGAATTAATGTGGAGGTTAGAAAACAGAAATATCTTCCAAAGAGCTTTTGGAGAGTGGAATTCTCTACTGTAAAGCATCATTGCTAAAAGGCGAAGTCCATTAAATTATGTTTTAAAAAGCAGTTGGATGTTTGGAGAAGAGCAATATTAGAGGGTGTGGAGGGTGGGATTAGGCCAGGTGGCAAGTGAAGATAAACATCAGTGTAGACGTGGAAGGATTGAATAGCCTGTTTCTGTGCTGTTACTTTCTGTGGTTCTATGTAATGGAATCTTAGTGTGTGTGTGTGTATAAGATTTTATATCCTTTCATTAGAACTTCATGCAAAATACTCTCCAGTCATTAAAGGAGATTCCTTGCCTGTAGTAGATTTGGAGCTTCTAAGAGTTAAACTAGCTTCTTAAACTGACCAGGTTTACGCAAACTAGTTTTTTTTATTACAATGGTTCTGTAATTAATATGTGCAATTAAAGAATATTTATTTTGATGGAATACGGCCTCTGGTTTCAAGCAGTATTCCCAGCAGAAAGCTTGCCATCGCCTGTAATTTCACTAATTCGACCTCTTAGATTTTATCATAAATATTTAAAAAATCCCCAACAGTGATGCACACTGTGTAGTCTTGTTTTTTTTCTGTTGCTGGGAATATGTACATGTGGCAACTTCAGTTTTAACTGAACCACAGGAATTTGGATTTGGATTCAACTGCGAGTTTGGCTGTCTTATCATTATTTTCGTGTTTCTAAAGGATTCAGAGTTTTCTGTGAAGTCCAGTGATGTCCATTTGTTGGTAAACCTGACAATATCCCACAAACGCCTATGAAGTGAATGACCAATTTTTTTAATCTGGCGAATTGTTGGCTAGGACACCGGAGAAACTTTTTTTTTCTCTTTGAATGCTGTCACAGAATCTTTAGAATCTTTAAAGTAGCAGACGGACTTTGATTTGATGTTTATTGGAAGGACACTTCATTGGAGTGTCAGTCTAGACTGTGAACTCAGTCCTGCCATGTGGCTTGAATCAAAAACTTTCTGACTCAGGCAAGACAGCTAACAACTGAGCGAGGCTGAGACCTTGTCATACTTTCCAACATTTTACAATTGTATCCTTGCCATTCTGTATTTTAACTTTGTCTTTATTTTTGTGCAGAAGTATAGCTATGTCCACTTGTCTGCTGGGGAACTGCTTCGTGCTGAGCGAAAGCGAGCTGGCTCCCAGTATGGGGAGCTCATTGAGAATTACATCCAAGAAGGGAAAATCGTACCAGTGGAAATAACTATTTCACTTATTAGAAAGGTAAGGCAACTTTTGACCACTAAGTGTTCCAGCAACAACAAATACAACAGATTACATTTGTATAACATCTTTCACGTCGGGAGGACATCTCAAGGCGCTGAACGGTTAGGATTTGGACCTGAGCTGGGGGTTTGTATTGAGGGGTGGACGGCAGGGATGGTAGGGGTAGGAAGGTGATTGAGGAGGAGACAAGGGAGGGTGCGAGGCAAAGGGACTGGGGTGGAGTTTCAAAGTTGGTGTAGCAGGCCAGGCGGGGGAAATGGAGCAGACCGGACGGAATCCGCTGAGCGGACAGGTTTATATGGAAATGGAATTGAAAGAGATTTTAATAACACACCTAGTGCCCAAATGTAGCGGTTAGAATCCCAGACCAGAATGTTAAATGCTTGATTCATGATCAAGCATTTGATTTTTAGCCATGCTGCTAAAATTGACCTGGTGCACACTGGTCTGGGAAGAGCAGAATTAGCCAGGATTCCTGTTCATTTTTGCTATTCTGTGAGCACTGTGTTTTGCCTATGGGACAAAAGGTGGTGGTTTCAAACCTCACACCAGGACACATCAGGAGCCTACTCCATGTCCCCCGCCCAGCCTCTCTCATTATTGGCAGTCGGGTCTTCAGCCTCTCTGTCCTTTGGAACTTCATCCCACAGTCCCTTTGCCTCTCCCCCTTCTTTGCCTCCTTCAAGGCTCAGCTCAAGACCCTCTTCTTAGATCCCGCCTTTGGTCACACTCCTACCCCCTACCCTCCCTGCCCTCCACCCCTCCTGATCCCAACCCCCAGCTGGGGTCCAAATCCTTGACTGTCCAGTGCCTTGTTACGTCCTCCCAACATGAAAGGTGCTGTACAGATTTCTTGTTATTGAACTCAGTCAGCATAGCCCCAGATAAAATTGGTCGTTCACGTCATGGCTGTTTGTCGGACGTTGTTGTGAGCATATTGGATGTTGTGTTACATAAACCCGTGAAGTGCTTTGAGACAACTTCCCAACGTGAGAGGCAGTTTATCAAATGCACAGATTAGTTTATTATGAACTTAGGTGGTTTTGAAAGAGGATAGAACGATGCAATAGGAGTAACCGCAATGATGATTTCACTGTTTAAAATCAATCACAGAGAGATTTCAGCTTCTTAATAAAGTCAATGCCTTGTATAGCAACTGGGCAAATCTGACTAGCATTGGTGTCACAATCCACAAGGTCCCTTTTATTCCCACTTATAATGGCTTTTTTATTGACGTGTAGAACTGGCAAAATGCCTCTTGCTGTTGCAATGATTAAATAACATGTTGGAATTTACTTTGGCAAACGATGGTACTGTATTTATTTAGGGGGTGTGGGGTTATTCTGTCACCGCTCAGCCATGCATTGCAATCTTAAAACCTTTTGTTTTACCATTGTATCCTGAAGCAATTTCCGTCTTTCATTGTTTAATTATTTTTCAAAAAATGGTTGCTTCCAACTTCAACATCAACAACGACTTGCATTTATATAGCGTCCTTCACGCGGGCACTGTCCCGGAGTGCTTCAAGGTATGACCTGTGAAGTGTTTGAGGCAACAGTCTGACGACGCCTTATAATGTGCTCTATCAAATTCAAGGATTACTATATATCTTGTAGCACAACATGCAGATAATACCAAGAAAGGTTGAAACGCATCATACAAGCTGTATAGCTTTTACCCAGATATTTGGAGACGAAGAACAAATATCCTGCTTCACAATAGTTTGACACAATAGCTCTGTGAATCTAGCTGTTATTGATTTTCTGCCTGCTCCCTCTTCAGGAATCTGGATTAACTTGGCTCCAGCCCAACCTTTTGTTGCACTGCAAGGTGCCCAGAAGTAATCTTTTATGAGGAGTGCTGTAGCTCAGTGGTTAGAGCACTCGCCTCTCAAGCAAGAGACCTGGGTTCAATTCCCGGCAGGGTGAAACCTTGGACAAGTTTCCTTAATCCACACGCCTGATAATAATCCCTCAAGGAAACAAAATAAAATTGGTCACTTGAATCCACGACTGTTTGTGGCACACTGCTGTGCGCAATTGGCTGCCGCGTTTTGCCCTGAGCTGTCCTTTCTCCCTCACATCCGCACCACAACTGGCACCGCCTTCCATCACCTCCGGAATATCGCCAGATTACGGCACTACCTCACCCCTCACGCCGCTGAAACCCTGGTTCACGCCTTTGTCACCTCAAGGCTGGACTATGGGAACTCTCTCCTCGCCGGCCTTCCCGGCCCTCCCTCCACAAGCTGCAGGTCATTCAGAACTCTGCAGCTCGTGTACTGTCCCGCACCAGGCTTCGCGATCACATCACTCCCACCCTCGCCCTCGCTCGCCTCCACTGGCTCCCCATCCCCCAGAGGATTGATTTCAAGATCCTCATCCTCACCTACAAGGCCATTCACGGCCTTGCTCCCTCCTACCTCTCCAACCTACTATCCCCCTACCTACCTGCCCGTACCCTCCGTTCCTCTGGCTCCGGTCTGCTCCACGTCCCCCGCCCCAACCGCCCTACTATCGGTGGTCGGGCCTTCAGCCTCTCAGCCCCCAGGCTATGGAACTCCATCCCCCAGTGCCTTCGCCGCTTCCTCCCTTTCCTCCTTCAAGGCCGGTCTCAAAACCTTTCTCTTTGACCGAGCCTTCAGCTCCCCTCTCGACTCTCTTCCTCCTCCTCGCTCCCTCCCTTCCCTCACCCTGACCATTTCCCCCCTCCTCGCTCCCTCCCTTCCCTCCCCTCACCCTGACCATTTCCCCCCTCCTCTCTCCCTCCCTTCCCTCCCCTCACCCTGACCATTTCCCCCCTGCTCGGGTCATGACCCAACTGTGCAGCGCCTTGGGACGTCCTCCTGACGTGAAAGGCGCTCTATAAATGGAATCTTGTTGTTGTTGTTGTTGTTGTTGTTGCCCACAGATATACAGTCAATTCACTTTACAGTATATTCTGTGAAGCGCTTTGAGATGTCTCGAAAAGCACTATATTAAATGCAAGGAGTATTATTTATACCTCAATGTTGCCGATGGGCCAGGATCAATTTTAATTGGTGATTTAGGTGTTGTTGACCTGATTAAGTTTCAAGGGTGGTTTCTCTGTGACTGAAAGTTAGTGTCACCTCTTTGCTTGTTAAATGGTAACGGTCATTATCCTTGCATTTCACATGACTTTGAATGTCTCAAAAGGGTTTCACAGACTTTTGGTCAAGTTTAGTGACTGTGTTTGGAGGTGATTGCAGCAGCCAGTTTGTGCACAGCAATGCTACACAAACAATGAATGATCAATTTTGTCTGGACACCAGGTAAAACTCCCTTCTCTTTTCCAAAATTGCCATGGCATCTTTAACTTTCACCTCCACAGGCAGACTTTGTCCTTTGGGTGAGACTTTAAACCTAGGTCCCATCTTCTTATACAGGTAGATGTTAAAGATCCCATGGTACTATTCGGAAAGAGAAAGGAGTTTCTCCCAGTGTCCTGGCCAACAATCCCCAAAATAAAATTGGCCACTCACTCCATGACTGTCTGTGGGACTTTGCTCTGCACAACTGGCTGGCGCATTTCGCCCACCAAATGCACAGCCAATCCACTTTATATATATCATGTGAAGCGCTTTCAGACATCTCAATGATGTGATAAGGCATTATATCAAATGTAATTATTATTAGTATCTTGTTTGAATGCATCATCCGAAGGACAACATCTGATCCTACTGTGCAGTCCTCATTTATGTAATTAATACCCAATGAAAAGGATTAATATACACATTGTATTTAGATGACACATGATAGTTAAATTAAAAACCTCCTGTTTCACAATGACAATGGGAGAACGGTTAGTTAGTTAGTTAATTACACTGATGACTTTTTTTTGTAGGCAATGGATGAGACGATGGTTTCAGATGCTTCTAAAAACAAATTTCTGATTGATGGATTTCCAAGGAATCAGGACAACCTGGATGGCTGGGAAAAAAACATGGAGGGGAAGGCTGACGTGGCTTTCGTGCTTTTCTTTGAATGCAGCGATGAGGTATCTGAATCAGTTCATTTCCTCTGGAATAGTAATATTTCGGCGCTCGCTGAACAAACTCTGCGCCATCTGGGAGCCCTGGATCCATTTTATTCCGTTTGCTTCCTCCTTCAGATGAGTGTTGTGAAATTAAAACATTTAAGATACAGTAAAGATTAAAACAGCTTTCTGTGAGGGGGGAAGGGGTGCGGATTCTCTGGTAAGCAAGGAGTACTAGAGATTTGTGCTATTTGTCCTAGATAAGGTGCGTGCGTGAGTGTAATATCACAACATTCATTGCATCACCCACCTCCCTGCAAGAATAAACCTCAATTTACATGGGATCCTCAAAGTTTTCATACTTCACTGGAGTAAATTACACACTCACTTGTCCAATCCCGAAAAAATTGCGTGTGAGAGACTTGATTTCACAAAATGCTCATTTCAGCAGATGTGAGTGTTTGCCTCCCTCTTTCATGCTGTTTAAGTGAATTATATTTTTGTTTTGTTAACCCGATCTCACCCCTTCTCAACAATCTCGGAAATTGACGATCTATATTCTTTTCTTCCCAAAGATTTGTATCCAGCGTTGCATGGAGAGAGGGCTGAACAGTAACCGATCTGATGACAACTTGGAGAGCTTGAAAAAAAGGTATCCAAGGGAATCGTTTGTGATTGTAATGATTTTGTCTCCTCCCTCCCTGTAGTTTATGACCTCACTGTCCCGGTGTGCCTTTTCAGATTTCAGACATACTGGGAGTCCACTCGACCTATTATAGAACATTATCACAAACTGGGCAAAGTAAGAAAAGTGGATGCATCCAGCACTATTGAGGAGGTATGTGATACACGGTTTGAAATGAGGGCAGTGGAGCCCTGCTGTAATACCAAATTGGGGGTGGGTGGAGATGGATTTGGGATTTTTTTTGTAATGTAGTAAATGTCAAGGACCCAATTGTGCCAAAAACAAACCCGCATACAATGAAGAGCATTTTAACTGGCTTTTACTGCATTTGCCCATCAAGCAATGAAATCTGCATCTGCTCCTTTGTTGCTTGCTGCTTGACTCGAATCCTTCATACTTCATCATTGTTGAATCATTTCATTGCAAACCACCCTGGGTTGCATTTTGTAGATTGAAACTATTAAAACACTCGGTGTGGGGGGTGGCTGGAGGGGATTGACACAGTTTCCGCCCTAGTCGATCCTAGCATGCAGCAAAGTAGGCAAATAATATCCTTGCAATTGATATAGTGACTTGTCATGTCATTTAGATATCTTAAAGCGATTCACAGAAAATACTCTGAAGTGAGTTGACTGTATATTTTGGGTGAGTAAATTCATGCCCAGAGAATGGATTGATTTAGTATTGTTCTTGGTTTAATTTGAAGCCTTTATCCTTTTAGGTTTTTGCTGACGTCCAGAAAATCTTCAGCCATGAAGATTGAATTGGGAACTCTTGGAAATATTTTACAGATCAGATGCTTGAATCTTGCTGAGATTAGCTGCTACTACATTCTACCTTTTTGTTTACTTCATATTTTTTTTAAAAAATGCTATTTCTTCATCGAATATCTTCGGGATGGATATATGTATCATTCTTTCTTTATGGTGCAGACTAATGTATCTTCTTTTGTAAATTTATTTTGTATGCAAACATTCTTTTGTCGAGCGTGGTGAAGAAGAAACGCTTGTTTTTTAAAAGATATTTTTTTAAAGGAGGAGAGAGGAAAAAAAATCCACACTTATAAACATGCTTCTAACTAGGGTTCCTGAATGGTCCATTGTGGAGTAGAATTGTTCTTGTGAGAAGGTTGCTTTTGTTTAAGGGTGAATCTAAACCTTTGAGGTTTGCCACTGACGTCACTCCACGCTTAATGATCCACAGATTGCTTGGAAGGGGAAAAAGTGCCTGAGCGGGCACTTTTGACTAACCCCTGTGGCCGATTTAAATTTATTAAGGTTCCAACTCAGTTGCAGTCCCAGTTGACCCAGATTTGAACGAGGCACAGAATGGGCTGTGGAGTCCCAGGAAGATGTGCAAAAAGGATCTGCATATGTTTGGTTTTTTTTAAAAAATTGAGAAAAATTGCCTCTGAATATTTATGTTCCAGTCTACCTGGTAATTATTGACAAATCTTTATCTGATTGAAGGTGGCTCTTACTGTTTAAAAACTAAATGAATTCAAACCATGAAGATATATTTCCAGCCATATGCTGTGGTTTTAAAAACTCATAAAGTGTGTGTGTGAGTGTGCTTATATATACACATACGTGTGTGTAAATAAGCACAGTGTGTCCCGAGGGACAGATGCATTCAGAAGTAAAATGTTCCTGTGTGGAATCCAGTCACTGCAAGACTGTGTTTCAGATCAGTGGGTGCTTTTGTTGTTATTCTGGTTGAGCTGAAATGCATTATTAAACGTATAGGAGTATGGAATAGGCAAAGGCAGTTTTGTTATATATGTATCCTGTCCAGTAAACAGTAGTTGTCTTCAATATCTTGTCAAGCAGGGTACTGTGCATGTGAGTTTTGCTGTCATTTATTCATGACCAATTGTTATAGTTATAAAAAAAATTATAGCTTAACAAAAGTTATAGCAATTCCAAACCTCACTTTCTTAAACTGGCTGAGTTGGGCTTCCTTCTATTGAAGTTCTGATGAATTCAGTTATTAAAGGAGAGGTTGAACCAGAGTACCTCACTCCTTTAACTTGATCACAAATGATTTCTTTTAGCAAATTTGTTTCTCAACTTCCTGCTTCGTTGCCAAGATCATATCTTTTCCTGCTATTTCATTTAATAGCCAAGATCAGGTCTGGTCCTACTCTACCGATAATACAAATTCATTATGATTGTGGTAACAATACAGCAATCACTAACTTGGAAGTTTCGCGGTGCGCCACATTGTAATGAAATGCTAGAGCTCAGGCAAACTTTCCTTGTAGTTTATATTTTACACGTTGGCTGTAGATTCAGTTAGAATTCTGCCTGGCATTTGGTGAGGGTAGGGGATTGGGGGCTGTAATAATATTTATTCCACTGGTAAGATTTTTTCAGGTATGCAAGCATTTTAGGGCATTTTATTTTTTACGTAAATCCATGTTGCTGAGCAGGTGAATTACATTTGAGCGGAATTATTTATTATCATCTCTCTTGCATTTTGGGGTCCATTGGTGAGCTGTACAAACAGAAACCTTAGAACCCAGAACTTTCGACAAATGTAGTTCAACTTGAGGAGAGGGTGTTTGATTTTATGTAATAGCTACAGAAATAAAAATTCTGTTTAAAAAAAAAGTCTAATCTCATCTGTTCCTCAAATGTTAATGATGCATCTTTGCAAAAATGTCTTATTTCCTAGTTATATCAGCTTATGTTGGATACACTAGAACCTTCGTTGAACTACTTTGCGTGAAAATTAAGAGACTTTCAGCTGCCCACCAAGCCCAAGTTGTCTTTTACCTGTTTGAATGTGACCTGCAATTGTACTGAGGTTTTCTATGTTAACTTCAAACGTGAAACTTCACAAAGAAATGGGCAAGAAGAGAGCAGTAATGCTATTTGTGTGCATTGTCCTTCAATAGGCAAGAAAGCCTTTCATAAGAGCATCAAAATAGCAACGATTTGTAAAGCAAAGGCCACGCACCAGTTCGTGGGTTCGTACTATCTTTTCACAAGCTGCATTTGACCAGGAATACAACTAAACAAGTTGGAATTTTAGAGCACCTCATCACATGAAAAAAACATGTTACAGTAATTAATGTTGAATGTCGTGACTGCNTTTTTTAGGCAAACTTGGCAGTCATTGGGCGCACACATGGACTCACAAACGGGCACAAGCTCAATGAGTAGCTTCTCTGGATGCAATTTTTTTGTGGATTACAAAAGATATTGAGAAACGACTCTTGAGATCCATTGTGGAACATGAGGCGCATGCTGTTTGCTGTCATGATGTCCTATCAACAGAAGGAGCTTTAAACTCCTTCAATCAAAACATTTATACACAGAATCTGGCTAGCCACTAAAACGACTGTCAGTGTTTTCGATGTTGTAAGTAGGTCCTAGGCAAAGTCATTAACAGTTATTATAGTATGACAAGTGAATGTTACTAACCTAGTTCTTAATTTTCAGCGCAGACAACATTGTTTTAAGTCATTTTGCCCCATGAGCTGAAACATTTTATGAGCAAAAAGAACTGATGCCTTCAGTGATTCTGAGGCTCACCACTAGATGGATGTCTGGGCTCGCATTCGAATGGTTCTCTCAGCAAAGTGCTTGCTCGCTCGCTCTCAGTAGTGCTTCACTGTACATACAATAATATACAAATATATTAATAATATAATAATATATCCAGAGAAAGCATTGGAAATCATCACCCTTGGTACTGACATTCGTTTTGGAGGATTTGCAGATGCCCTTTAAACCAGAAGTAACGCAGCCTGAGAATACATTATTGGGGTCTTTATTATTGTAGGTAATTCCAAAGCAGGACTAACAAGTCTTTATGATATTATAGAGAAAGTTGCCGATACAAGAGATTAGAGTACTTAACTATTGCTATTAATTACTATTTACTCTTCAACCACATGTTTATCAGTGTGTGTCTTAAGCCACTTTATAATACAAAATAATACTTGCATTGGGTATAATGCCTTAACATTTGGGAAAGCACTTCACAACTTTTCTGTAAAGCATAAACCGTGCACTTATACGTGAGCTGAGCAGCCAATTTGTGCGCAGCAATGTCTCACAAACAGTCACAAAGTGAATGATTAATTATTTTAATCTGGGGTATTGCTGGCCAGGACACAGGGAGAGAGAAATTCCTCTTTTTGAGTAGTACCATCGGATCTTTAACATCCACTTGAACAGGTAGACTTGGTTTAGCATCTCATTTTAAGGACAGCACCTCAAACAATACAATACAGCACATTTTCCTTCCCCCTCCAGCAGCGCTAGTATTCGAGCATCAGCCTAGACAATGTGTTCAGTGTCCTGATGTGAAGCTTGAACCCATAAACTCCTAGCTTAGGCGAGAGGCCTACCAACTGAGCCATAAAGGTAGATGGAAACTCACCTGATGAACTGTACTGGTGGACTTTTCCAAACAAAGGACCAAATTAGAAGCTAAAGGAGAGGCTTAAACACAAAACCTTTTGTGCAGAGCTTTTAAAATTCCACTCGACATATTTTAAGACAAGCAGAATGTAATGAACTTGGAGCTGAGGGTAGTGAGCTCTTTCATTGTCTCTAACATGTACAGGGAACTTTGAATCCTTTGCTTTCCCCTTTTCTTGCTTTTGTCGGCAACAGACCATTAAAACCAGTTAATATCTTTAGGAATTGTACTTAGTACAGTGAATTTCTGCAGCTAATTACAATTAACACAACAACGTACATGTATAGATTTACTGCATTAAGAAGTTCCACTAAAAAAAAGGTGCCTTTGCAAATTTTGGCCTAATCTGACGATAATAGATTAAGTGATAAATTTCTATTGCCAGTAATTGTAGCAAACTGTAATAAAGGTGTTTAGAGTGTGATTTTCTATTTGTAAGGGAACATTACTACAATTAATATACTCAGGTAGTGTTCCAGTATGATTTAGATGACTTCCTGTCATTATATTAATGGGGTAAAAAATGTGAAATTTTGTCACATTTAATGTGGTAATTAGCACTTCGAATCTGATATGAAGCACCACATTTTGTGCCCCTATATTTTTACTGACTTGTGAGTATCTGTTACTGAAAGAGCAAAAGAAGTATGGAACGCAAGTCTTGTAGTTCGTATTTTACAACAAACAAATGGGAAAATGGGGGAAATGTTATTTGAGTCACATCTGCCGCTTAATTAGTGGTTTAATTGCCAGTTTTGTCATTATGTGCTGTTACATTGTGACTGTTTTATTCAATACAAATATTCAAACTTGGTGGCAATTAAACTATAGCTACTGCAGAAATAGTGGTTAAGAAAAATGCCTTCCCAGGGAAATGGAATCTAAGCACTGATGTAACTAGAGAAAGCGTGATTGGTTGAAGAAATACAAATACATTTAAAAATATGCATCTAAGAGTCCTCTCTCCTTCACTGATACTGTACAATAAAGATTAGTGAGCAGTCAGTCTGCTGATGGCTGCGTAATAATACAAAAATGTTTTAAAAATTAATAATTTGCTCACTTCAATCCACGACTATCTGTGGGACACTGCTGTGCGCAATTGGCTTTCGTGTCTCGTCAACAAAATAAACAACAACAAGATTCCATTTATTGAGCGCCTTTCACGTCGGGAGGACGTCCCAAGGCGCTGTACAGTTGGGTCAGGACCCGAGCAGGGGGAAATGGTCAGGGTGAGGGGAGGGAAGGGAGGGAGCGAGGGGGGGGAAATGGTCAGGGTGAGGGGAGGGAAGGGAGGGAGTGAGGAGGGGGTAGAGAGTCGAGAGGGGAGCTGAAGGTACGGTCAAAGAGAAAGGTCTTGAGACCGGCCTTGAAGGAGGAAGTGGCGAAGGCACTGGGGGATAGAGTTCCAGAGCCTCGGGGCTGAGAGGCTGAAGGCCACCGATGGTAGGGCGGGTGGGGCGGGGAATGTGGAGCAGACCGGAGCCAGAGGAACGGAGGGTACGGGCAGGTAGGTAGGGGATAGTAGGTCGGAGAGGTAGGAGGGAGTGAGGCCGTGAATGGCCTTGTAGGTGAGGATGAGGATCTTGAATTCGATCCTCTGGGGAATGGGGAGCCAGTGGAGGCGAGCGAGGGTGAGGGTGGGAGTGATGTGTTCCCGAAGCCTGGTGCGGGACAGTACACGAGCTGCAGAGTTCTGAATGACCTGCAGTGTGGAGGGAAGGCCGGGAAGGCCGCGAGGAGAGAGTTCCCATAGTCCAGCCTTGAGGTGATAAAGGCGTGGACCAGAGTTTCAGCCGCGTGAGGGGTGAGATAGTGCCGTAGTCTGGCAACATTCCGGAGGTGATGGAAGGCGGTGCCAGTTGTGGCGCGGATATGAGGGAGAAAGGACAGCTCAGGGTCGAACAGAACCCCGAGGTTCCTGATGGCTTTGAGAGGTGGAGAGTTCGGCCTTGGATGCTGATGTTGTCAGCGCCTGAGGTGCGGAGGCGCTGACGTGAGCCAATCAGGAGGGCCTCAGTTTTGCGCACGTTGAGCTGGAGAAAGTTATCTCTCGTCCAGGACTCGATGTCGGACAGGCAGCTGTCAGGACATTGGTGGTCATGGAGTTGAGGGTAGAGAAGGAAAGGTAGAGTCAATAGAGTCAACAAAATATACAGTCAATTCACTTTACAGTGTATTCTGTGAAGCGCTTTGAGACGTCTCGAAGACGTGATAAGGCGCCGTATCAAATGAACGGATTATTATCTCTCCTGTGAGAAGCTGAGATCTGTTAGTTGGCTGATCTCAGGCACTAATGATCTCAACAATTGGCCTAGGTGTTCCTGGTTACGGAAGGGAAATTGTGTCAGAGCTCCTGATTGCTGATTGCTATCCAACAGCCCGTACTGAAGTCACACACTTGTGGACAGGAGGTGAGTTCAGGATTATGCTTCAGTGTGCTGCTCCTGCTGACAGTCACTGCCAAGTCTCACACTTGAACAGAATAGCAATATTATAAAGTAAAACTTGCATAAATCTGATCTCTATATACATCCTATAATCGCCCAAGTCGTACATCTGCCCAAGCCCCATTGAGTTTCCTATTATTTCTAAGTTCGATATAACTCATACTTTGCATAAGTCATATTAATGTCCCAACTGATACGACTTATGTGAGGTTAACGGTAATAATACTTGCATTTTAAAGTCACACCTATAGTGTCAAAATGTGTCAAAGTGCTGTGTTCTCCCGTCAAGTGCAGTGATTGTGTATTTGCAGGCAAATTTGACAGGCGTTTTGTACACAGCAAAGTTGGACTAAATGGCCTGTTTACGTGCCATGTCGTTCAGTGTAATATTATGTAAAATTCCCCCGAACAGCCGTGATGAAGAACCAATTTATCTGGAGGAATAATGACCACTTAGGTGAGGAGGGATCACGTGTTGATTTTATAGTCCAGTGGATGTAGAGGTGAGTATTCACCTTCAAGTGAGAGAGAGAAAGGAGCAAATCAGCATTGACTTGACAAAGAGAAATTGGATTACAACGTGATTCCCATAATAATAATAATAATCCTTGCAGTTGATATAACGCCTTATCATGTCTTTGAGACTCTCAAAGCGCTTCACAGAATACACCGTGAAGTGAATTGACGCAGCTGCCAATTGTACACAGCAGCATCCCACTTGTACACAG